TAGTCAAGTTTGGCCTGGTTGATCATTATTTCAGTCTTCTGTTTTGCTAAGTGTCCTTAGCATTATGATTGCTGGCCAATGTAAATAAGTCTGCTTGCTGGGTAGTCTGTCCTGAGGAAACTCTATTGTCCCATAAGGGCAGTTTTGGTCCCTTGTTATAAAGATGATGGTATCAATCACTCATGTTATTCTGGAACCTAAGATGGTTACAAAATGACTACATAAAGAACAACCTAAAACAAAGACACATTAAAAAAATTGAACTAAGCTGAACTTGAGCACTTTCTTCAATAATTAAGGTAGGCATCAACCTCTAGCCAAAGAAATCCTTAATGTCATCAGGAAGTGGGGAAAGAGAGAGGGAAAGGGTGACAATGGCCAAAAAGAAATGTACTTTTGCCTGGTGCTGGTGGCTCGCACCTGTAATCCTAGCTACTCAGGGGGCTAGACCTGAGGATCACGGTTCAAAAACCAGCCCAGGCAGGAAGGTCTGTGAGACTATTATCTCCAATAAACCACCAGAAAACCCAAAGTGGTGCTGTGGGTTCAAGTGGTAGAGCTCTAACCTTGAGCTGAAGAGCTGAGAGATGGCGCCCAGGCCCAGAGTTCAAACTCCACAACTGACAAAGAAAGGAGAAAGGAAGGAAGGAAGGAAGGAAGGAAGGAAGGAAGGAAGGAAGGAAGGAAGGAAGGAAGGAAGGAAGGAAGGAAGGAAGGAAGGAAGGAAGGAAGGAAGGTGCTCTTTACCTGACTTATGTAACTGTAACCTCTCTGTGCATCATCTTTATAGTAACAATAAGAAATAAAAAATAAAGCAAGTAGAAAAGCACCAACCATGAGTGAAAAAGCCAAGTGAGAGAAAGAAGTCCTGAGTTCAAAACCTAGGACCGGCACACACACAAGAACAGGTTCAATTACTCCACGAAAGGCATAGGATGTCAAAAGATGTTTTTGAGTGCCCTATACATCTAAGAATTAGTGGAAGGCTCTCTTCAAGCTGAAGGTAGATCTACAACAAACAGTATCTGAAATACTAGATCTTTAGCTAACAAAACCAAGACCCAGGACCATGAACCGGACTTGAGGGGACAGATGGATCTGATAATTCTATAAATCTGCATGGGCTGATTCTGGGAAAAACTTAAACCTTTAAGCCCCTAAATTTCCATTTAAAAAACCTATGTCAGGGTGAAAATAATGACCACTCTCACCCTAAAGACCATGGATTTCAATCTATTGAAAGTATATTTTTTTAGCTGGGCGCTAGTGTTTCATACCTGTAATCCTAACTTACTCAGGAGGCTGAAATCTAGAAAATTGAGGTTCAAGGTCAGCCTAGACAGAACAATCCTTGCAACTCCATCTCCAAAATAAGCAAAAAAACCAGACTGGAAGTATACCTCAGAGTATACCTCAAGTAGTATTTGAGGGTCAACCAAGCCAGAGGTGAAGCCTCAATACTGGAAATTTTTTGGGGGGAGGGGGTCTGGTTGTGGGCCTGAACTCTGGGCCTGGGCACTGTCCCTCAGCTCTTGAGCTCAAGGCTAGTGCTCTACCACTTGAGCCACAGTGCCACTTCCGGCTTTTTTCCTTTTTTTTTGCTTATGTGGTGCTGGGGAATCGAACCCTGGGCCTCATGCATGCAAGGCAAGCACTCTACCACTGAGCCACCTTTCCAGCCCCAATACTGGAAATTTTTAAAAGAAAATAGTTTCTTTTCCAAATAAACTCTCCTATCTCTTTCTTTCCTCAATTATCTCCCTGGATGCAAGAATTGAAAGAGCTGCACTGGCCTCCAGCAACAAGGTCACATTGTAGCTGTTGTGGACATCTTGAAATATTATTTATATTCATCATGACTTTGAAATTAGAGGAATCTAGGATTTGCCACTGGGTCTTGTGGCCTAATGAATTATTGAAGAAGTACATATATTTAAGATACTTTGTTAACTGTAACTCAATATAATTGGTACTGTTTGCAATGCACTGTCGGGCTTTTTTTTTTTTATTTAAACATTCAAAACTATTCCTCTGAGAAAGGATGTGAAGCCGCAAAGATCCATGGCATAATGATATTTCAGAGCTGGATATGGAAGGCATGCCTGTTTTCCCAACACTAGAAGGCTGAGGTAGGAAAATCCTCAGTTCAAGGCCAGGCTGAGCTACACACTGGGTTTCAGGCCCCCTGAAAAACACAAAAGAAAAGGGAAAAAATGGGGCTGGCAAGGTGTCTCAGTGGTAAAGTGCTTGCCTCGCATGCATGAGGCCCTGGGTTCAATTCCTCAGCACCACATAAGCAGAAAAGGCCAGAAGTGACGCTGTGGCTCAAGTAGTAGAGCACTAACCTTGAGTTGCAGAGCTAAAGGACAGTACTCAGGCCCAGAATTCAGGCCCCACAACTTACAAAAACAAAGAAAAGAAAGAAAGAAAAATTTAAAAAAATACTTAGTGTCTGGCTGCATGGCAGTGTGCTTTTCTAGCATTGTGTAACTCTGGATTCTATCCCCAGCACAACCGAAATCAAACAAAATGAAATACACACACACACACACACACACACACACAACATAGCCAGTGTGGTAGCACACACATAATCCCAGTATTTAGGAGACTGAGGTTGGAGGATTGGGAATTCAGGGTCAGCCTGAGGTACATACACCTGTCTCAAAAAGTGAAAAGAATGTTTGAAGAACCTTGGTTTAGAGATAAATATTTTTGAAGGTATTATTATGCCTCCCAGACCAATGTTCCCCAAACCTCCCAAGCAGTAAGGATCATTTGAGGGACTGATTTGGCATGAGGCCTGCAACTCATTTGTTTAATAAGTGATTTGGGAGGTGCAGCCTTATCATCAGTAAATTTGGGAATTGCTGCCTTAGGCTGTGTCTGTTGAAAATCAATAGCCAAGTCAGTACCTGAAGACTCTTTCCTGCTTACTCCCCACCTTCTGCATTGCCAAAGGGAGTCAGTTATATTCATTAGCAAGTGAGAGTAACACCACCTGGCTGCCTATAATTCTGAAGTGAGTTATTCATCAGAATTTAAGTGAAAAAATCATGTCTCTAAAGAGTCTTAAATCAATCAGATTTCTTTTTTTTCTGCTTTAATTTTTTAAAAAATCACTTTACCTTTCATGATTTCCCAATGCTTTGTACTTACCTCTCTGTCAGCTCTCATCACACTATATCACAGTTATTTTCTTAGCATCTTCTGGACCCTCAGCCCACCCACCCCCGGACACATGCATACACAACACCCACACACACACACGCACCCATGCCCTGTCTTCTGAGGTCCTGAGAACACAAACAATTAATTTAACACAAGATACAAGCCAAGTACCATGCATATAGTGCACACTCAATAAATAGTGTATCTACTGGTGAGTGAGTGGACAAATATCCTATCTATCTATCTATCTATGTATCTATGTATCTATCTATCTATGTATCTATCTATCTTTGGTGCTAGCAGAGGAGTTAAGAGGTATATGCTGTGTTGTGCTCAGACCTTTAGGAGGCAGAACAGAATCCTGGTTGATACTAGAGGACTGGAATTCTGTCTCCTTCTAGTAGTTACATATCCTAAGGTTAACAACACCTCTGGCAACCCCAATCAGGTCTCCCTTTATTTGTAAATTGGACATCATATTTATTTCATTCAGTTGCTATGAGATAATCTGTGCAGGTTACTTGGCATATTCTTAACCCTTTGCTGCTCTTTATTGATCCCTTATTATTATTTACTTGGTATGGGAGACTGCTGGATATATATACATATACATATATCTATTATTTCCATTTCAAATTCCACCAATTACAGACTCATTTTAATGAGGAAAGCTGCAGGGAAGGCTAAGCGTGGCACCTTAGTGGGGATTACTTTAATCATCTAATCGGGTTGTTTTCTTCTTGACACTTAGCTGAGATGAAGGGATGAAGGGGAATTTACATGGCAGAGTCTAGAGACAGGGAAACGGCAAAGCCAGGGCAGGGGTTGTATCCCATGGCCTGGAAGAAGAGGACAACCTGGGATCTTCATGAGAGGGGCAGCAAAGAAAGCTGCTGTGTGTCCTCTCAGCCCCAAAGGCAGCAGCCACCATTGACGTTTGCTCTGCTGTTTTGTAACCCTGCGAAAGAGGTGATCAGGAAGGCCCTCGTTCCCTAGGAAGAAGAGACAGTCTGTCACACAAAAATCCCTGGTGATACCTTGTTTTCTTCTTTCCTCCTCTTCCCTAACAGTTGCCTCTTCCTGAGTGACACTTTCCTATAGCAAGTATTAACTACCTCCATACTAGTGTCAGGTCTGCCTTTACTACCTAGGTGCCCTTTGGCAATGGGCTTAGCCTTGCTCAGCTTCCTTCCTCTATGATAAAAATACTGTCTGTCAATGCAAAAAACAACAAGTCTGCTCTGAAGGAAATAAGAAAATAGATTAATTCTGAGCCAAATATGCTTCAAGTTACCCTGATGATACGATCTGCCATGGAAGAAGTGACATGAGCATTTATAGCCACAGAACAAAGGAAAGTCATAAATCAATGTATTTAACTAATACATTAGTGGGAGTGTTAGGTGGGTAACAGTTAAGTGGGAGATCTTTGCTATAGATACCAGATGCTATTTTGTAGTATTCTTAGCTTTAGGGTTGGTGGAGGCTGGAAATATGTTAGGCTTAGCAATAAATTCTAAAGGGTTTACCTAATAGTTGTGAGAATGTTAGATTAGATGCAAATGTTAAAAGTAAATGGTGATTTTTTTTTTTTTGGGTCCGGTAGTGGGGCCTGAACTCTGGGCCTGGGCGCTGTCCCTCAGCTCTTCAGCTCAAGGCTAGTGCTCTACCACTTGAGCCACAGCGCCACTTCCAGCTTTTTTTCTTTTTGCTTATGTGGTGCTGAGGAATTGAACCCAGGGCCTCGAGCATGCAAGGCAAGCGCTCTACCACTGAGCCACCTTCCCAGCCCGGTGATTTTTTTTTAAGGTACTATGATATAACCTAAGATGCTGGCTTTCAACCGGCAACATTCCATCTCTCCACATTTAGAACAACAGTCATTGGGATCTTTAGAACAGATTCAGGTTCTTCAGAGACCTTCAACTCCATTTGGAGAACATGGTTCACCAAACAGTAGGCACTTGGTAAGCATTCAGTAAATGGTAGCTTTTAGTACAAGTACAGAATGTGCCCGTGATCATTCAGTCTTGCAAAATGTATTTGCATGCCTGCTCCCTGCCTGGCTGCCATAGTGAATAAGTAAATGATTCTGCTATCAAGTTGGTTAAGTAACAGTTATTTAATCTATCAAATTAGATAGTCCTCAAAAAAAAAATCTCTAAGGCACATACAAAGCAAAGCACAATTTCTATTTTCAAAATCTGAAGTTTTGAAAGTATGATAGAAATTTCTGGAAGCCAGGCAAGTTGAAGGGGTGGATGGTATTGGGAGAGATGGGAGAGAATGGTGAAGGGAGTGACATTGACCAAGGCTGCATTGTAGTCACAAAATGACATGTTGAGTTGAACTCCCTCTGTACAACGACTTCAAGATAACTTTGGAAAATAAATTAATGGGAAAAAAAAGAAATTTCTGGATGGGTCAATGGGTCATATGAGCAGGTGACTGATTTAGGGTAAATTTTCAATAAATGTTTATAGTAATGATTTTAGGTTCTCATATTAATCTCTAGTTAGTGTTTTCAATATTGCCTCCCTTCTCCAGTTACCTTGTAATTTCTTCAGAGATTATCCTGTGGTATATTTTGTGGAACCTCTTAACACACATAATATACCCTCCTTTTATGAACTGTTGTAGCTTCACAAGTACTTTCTTAATGAATATGTGAATGAATGAGTGAATGAATTTGATGAATGAATGGCACGCAGTAAGCCACCAGGGTTGACATTTTTCCTATCTACTTTCACCAATACTATCCCTGATACACAGTCACAAACACTCACCAATATTTTTTTGAAAGTGGTTTTCTTCCAAGTTTAAAGCATAAGCTGCACAGTAGACATAGTGAAATGAAATTAAAGATACAAAATTTAACTTCAGAGAGAAGTTTTGATAGCATCTGAGTGTACTGTGTAATGAGCAGAACTGTCTTTCACTCTCCCGTTTCTCCTAAGTCATTATGTGATTATCACTCAGTACATCAGGGTCCTTACAACTCCCTTTTTTAAAGTTTCTTTCATTCTCAGAATTCCTCTAAATTTATATTAGGTCTATATTTATATAGAGCCAATACACTAACAGAAAGTAAATCCACAACCAAGTAAACAAAAATTATGACTTTGTCACACTTGTTTTAATTTTTATCATTGCTGTTAAACAACAACAACAAAAATCTTTGGTGAGTGCAAAACAGCATCTAGAAATGACCAAATATGAAAATAAACTAGAAGGCCGAATGGAAAATAAATCCAAGTGGAGGTTGTTAAGGAAGGAGAAGGTCCTTGCTTTATTGGTATAAAACAGGAAGGAAGAGTCAATAGACCTATTTGCATCAGGACAGTCTTGGTGAGAAAAACTTCTTCTCACTCTCTTTCTCTCTCTCCCTCCTTCCTTCCTTTCCTTCCTCCCTTCCTCCCTTCCTTCCTTCCTTCCTTCCTTCCTTCCTTCCTCCCTCCCTCCCTCCTTCTCTTCCTTTCTGCCTGCCTGCCTGCCTGCTTTCCTTCTTTCCTTCCTTCCTTCCTTCCTTCCTTCCTTCCTTCCTTCCTTCCTTCCTTCCTCCATGAATAGCCGTTGGGCCTGCTCAGGAGGAACACCATAAACACACAGCTACATGTGGGAGCAAGAAGTTTCACAGGCTTCTCTTTGACAGCCCAGATTCCCCAAGAATGGCAGCCCTACAGGCAGGAGCCTGGCAACTGCCCAAAGCCTCCGGGCTCAGGGATGTCGGTTTGTAGACATTCAGAAGTGGCAATCTCCCTGACAAATCTTCCTGCTTTAATTAGGTTATGTAAAAGTCTCAAAAAAAAACCCAAAACAAAACAATACAAATTGAGTAACCTAAATTCCTGGTGTTTCCTAAGCGTTACTCAGAGGAGAACTATGGAGTTTGAACTTAAATGAAGTGCACAAGGTCAGAGCCAGCCTTCTAGGTAGAAAATTTTGCTCCTAGCTTGGCACCAGTGGCTCATGCCTGTAATTCTAGCTACACAGGAGGCTGAGATCTGAGGATCATGGTTCAAAGCCAGCAGGAAAGTTCATGAGACTCTTATCTCCAATAAACCGCTCAGACAACCAGAAGTGGTACTGTGGCTCATGTGGTAGAATACTAGCTTTGAGCTGAAGAGCTAAGGGACAGCACCTAAGCCCAGAGTTCAAGGCTCACCACTGACCAAAAACAAAAAGAAAAGAAAATCTTGCTCCTTTTCCTTTCCTGGGTCCAGCCTTTCCCCACTTCTCCATGATAGGGATGTAGAGTTTGGGGGTGAAAGGCAGTCACATGGATATAGACTTATTTTACACAATTTTTTTTTTAGATGTTGTTTTGGGATGTTTCCAAGCTTTCAAACCTGAAGCCAGGGGGATTTTTACTTTGGAGATACATTTTAAGGCAAACCTGTTCTTAGCTTCTTTCCTGAGTATGTGGTGAGTTCCCTACAAGGCAGTGGGCTTCTAAGAGGCAATTTCAGCATCATAAATACATCAGGCACTTGCCCATGCTCTTTCACTACCAACTGTGCATCTAGAGGCTGATATGCATCTGTGGGCACATCCCTGAAGCACGAGGAGGAGCTTCAGTTTGAGCTAGATCAGTGATGCGCAACTCTTGATGTATCTGGGAGTGTTCACTTTCAGATGAAGACTCATAGGCTCCAGTTCCATAATTCTGGCTCCCTAGGTGTAAAGAAGATGCAGAAATCTACATCCTTAATAAATACTTTACCAAGGACCACTGGGAGAAAATAGCACTAGTTGATTTGGATCCCTTTGAACACTGATTGTCCATACCTAAGCAATCAGGCTCAGACAGTCTGTACACCCCTCTTTGTCCATGTAACCATAGTAATAGTATCAACTACAAGGAGTTGGGAGGGTGCATCAACACCTGTACTGAACAGCAGAGGGAAGGCCAGAGAGCTAATGGGGTTGTTGTTCCTTGGCTGAGACAAATACTAACATCTTTCTTGTCTCCAATATCTAGGTGACAGGAGGAGTATGGAATTTCAGCCGCATTTGCTGTGATGTTTTTGTCACCTTGGATGTCATGATGTGTACAGCCAGTATCCTGAACCTCTGCGCTATCAGTATAGACAGGTACGGCTTGGAGTTCCCTCCTGGGCTTAGGAGAAAGGTGTCCTGGAAAGAAGGGAGGGACAGGGAATACAGGTTATGTTCTTGAGACAATGGAATCACTTCAACTTGCTACATTGTTTCTCTCTGTCTCTCTCTGTGTCTCTGTCTGTGTCTGTCTCCCTCTGCTCCCTCCCCCTCTCCCTCCCTCCTAGTACTGGGGCTTGAACTCAGGGCCTGGCACTGTCCCTGAACTTTTTTACTCAAGGGTGGTGCTGTACCACTTGAACCAAACCTCCACTTCTGTTTTTTTAGTACTTAATTGCAGATAAGAGGCTCATCAGCTTTCCTGTTCAGGCTGGCTTTGAGCTGTAAACCTCAGATCTCAGCCTTCTGAGACATGAGCTACCAGCACCCATCTCTTTTGTTTTTAGACACTTTTCCCAGGAGAGGAATAGCTGTCCTATAAGCTTTCCTAGTCTTTCCCCTAAATAAGATTGTGAGTTTACCTTTCTAACATTCTTAGGGGCTTTTATGATTTCTAATTGGAAGGGAAAAAACGGTAGTAGAAAGGAACAAAAGGTGAGCTGCCTGTGTTGATATGAAATTCTGTATTTGTTTTGCTTGTTGATAGGAAATTCTGTACTTGTTTTGCTTATTTGTTTGGGAGGAAAGAGAGATGCAAACATGGATATATTTTCCAGGACAGAGAAAGGCAATATTAGGAAGGATGCCTCGAATCTATAAGTTTCCTGTCACAATTTAAGAACATCAAATGAATTATGCTTTAAATATAGCTTTTGGTTCCTGGAGTGGATGTCTGTGACTTGGGTTCTTCTGTACATGTGTTCTGCTAGAGCCATCCCTAAAAGCACTCAGATTCTCCGTCCTTCTGTTTCTCACTTCCCCTTTTCATCTTCTACTCTTCATTCTCTCCCCCACTGCCTAAGACTTAGAATTGACACAAGGGATCCCCAGGCACACTGGGAAGCCGGGGCAGGGCGGTCATCTGAGCCCTCAACAGCCTCCTGCTCCCTTCACCTCTTCTCTCCTTCCCAATGACTTCAATATCTCGCCATGGTTCCAAAAGACAACCCCAAGTAAGACCTGCCATCTATTGAGAATTTATTGCATTATGTTAAGCTTTAGCATGGATTAATTCAGTTCATCGTAACTACCAACTCTTAAATTCTAATCAAATCTCCATTTCCTCTGGGTTAAAGCATTTGCCAAAGTCACACAGCTGGGATGGGGCCATGCCTACATTTGAATGAATGACTATTGTACTCAAATTAATAAGATTTGTTTGCTAACCTTACCAAATCTCTACCTATACCCCTGCAGACATCCCCAAATTTCAGATTATGTTGCTGCCTGAATAACACATTGGTTTCTATAACACAAAATATTATAGAGCTTTGGGGTTTGTTTGTTTGTTAATCAAGCACAAACCGTCTTGATTTGATGAATTCTCAATGACACCATCTTTGTCTCAGAATGCTGGGTTTCGTTGGACTCCTTCTCTTTTCCTAATATCCCACACTCAAGCAATCTCTACTTACATTCAGCTTTTGCAGACCTTTTTTCAAGCTCAACTGAATCTTTCTTTTCTTTGCCATCCCCTACTTAAATTTGATGTGCCAGTAACATCACCAACCCTCAGAAGTACACACCCCACAATTGTAGCCCTCGTTTACATTACCCATGTTTACATTAGCTTAATACTCCTCACTCAAGGCTCCATAACAAGCATAGCAAGGAGATTCACAGGTGACAGGAACCTGGGCTTAACAGAACAGTTTGAGATGGTAGAGCTGACAATAAGGCAAAACAGTTGCAGCCAACTACTTCCGTAAACAACCCATTCTCCCAAACATGTACCAAACATCCAGAAATTATACAACGGGCTTATATATTAAGCCATGGATTTTGAAATCCATGGCTTCAGTCTTTTTATTTTTGTATGTGTGTGTATGTGTAAAGGTATTAAGGCTTCAACTCCAGTTCTTGCTCAGCTTTCCTGTTCTCAGTAATCTTCAGTCTAACATTTTGCTAGTTAACTGGAGATAAAGTTTCACAGCCTTTTCTGTCTGAATAGGCTTCAAATTCAGCTTTCAGATTTCAGCTTCCTGAGTAGCTAGGATTACAGGCATGAGCCACTGCAGCTCGCTCAGTCGATTTTATTAACCTCTTCTTTTTTTGGGTTTTCCCATCTCCTCCTCATGCTCTATCCTCTTGGGATGTCCTTATTTATAGGCCCCTTCTACACTGCTTGAGTCCTCACAATGCTTTCTCTGCTACTACATTGTCATACATGCAGCTGGCCTTTTCTCATATGGCCTAGAGCTGTGCCTTTTCCACCAATAATCTGAAATTTCTTCCATGTACTGAACAAAAACTAAAAGAATAACATAACGAATGCACATGAAAAGCCTTCCCTTTGGTGATATTGCAAACTAACCTGGATTAACTCTCCAAGTGAGAAGGACAATGAAAAGAAAAATGTCCACCCTGTTAGAAATAATGCCATTGAAAAGTAGTTTAAAAATAGAGGATATGGTTGCCTAATCCCATAAATATACCAAAAAAATTAAATTGTACACTGGAAGGGAATTAATTGTGCCATATGTGCATTATATTTCAATAGAGCTGTCAAAAACTGATGAGATAGAGACATTATAATATTTTTAGCTCTCATATCTAAGCCCGTTGTATAATTTCTGGATGTTTGGTACATGTTTGGGAGAATGGGTTGTTTACGGAAGTAGTTGGCTGCAACTGTTTTGCCTTATTGTCAGCTCTACCATCTCAAACTGTTCTGTTAAGCCCAGGTTCCTGTCACCTGTGAATCTCCTTGCTATGCTTGTTATGGAGCCTTGAGTGAGGAGTATTAAGCTAAATTCAGTGGCCTTTGGCTGGAGCTGCCAATGTTTGTTACCAGTGAATGGGATGTTCCAAGGGCTCCTCTTGTTCTTCGGGTACAGCCCAAAGTTGTCGAGGCCTGAGATTATGTTATTCAATAGGATGAGGTTACTGGGTGGAAAAAAACTTGAGGATCTCGTCTGAAACTTGTCCTCAAATGTATTGATACCTTTGTAGGGACTCCCTTGCTGTGGGAAGACATACACTTGAGCTCTGAAGAGGACGAGGACAGGGGCCTGCCAATTAGATCCTCTTTGCTCTCAGCACCTCCTGCGGGAGGTCATAGTGAGCATTGTGCCTCAAAAGACATGTTTGATTTTGTTAAGGGGAGTGGGTTCCCTAAGGATGTAAGACCATAATCGTATCTGGTCCAACCTAAGAGTTGTAGGGAATGAAATCTTGTAATGGCGGCACGTCTTGGGTCCAGCTCATATCTACCTATCAGCCTACACTAGCCTGCTAATATCACAGATAGGCATCTTCAGAAAGCTCAGGAGAGGGCAAAAGGTTAACCTGTAAGGAGAGGCAATTATATAAATGGAGGTAGTTCCTGACTTCCTCCCTATCTTTTTATATTATGCCCATCCACTCCACCTCAGACACAGTCTCAGACACACACACATGTGTTTGTGTGTATGTGTGTGTGTCAGAGAGAGAGAGAGAGAGAGAGAGAGAGAGGCCTAAAGGAGAGACTGAGGAGTTGTATCATGAAGAGGAGTGTGGGAACAGAATTCAGCCAGGGCTTCATTTTCCAAGTCCTGAGTAGGTCCTGAGAGGGTATCTTCTTACAATTTTCCTGCCAGAAGGGGGCACTGTTCTCCATTTTGCAGCAGCCTAGGTTCCCACACACATCTTCACATGACACATTTCAAAGGCAATGAACAAAAATAAAGCTTCAACTGGCTTGTGTGCCATATAGGAAATTTTCCATAACTCACAGCATCCATCTGCCTGGAACCTGAAAGGCCAAGCCATGCCTTCGATCCCAGGGACCTAAGGACTTCTTTTCATTATGGACCTATCTTCACCAGATCTCCAAATGAAGCCCCCTCCCTCTTCTGGGAATGAAAAATAAGCCTCAGAAAAAGCTGCCTCCATTATCCCTCACAGCAGTTTGCAGTACACCGCATTAAAATCTGTTCATGTGATGCCAGATAGCTGGTCAATTCATTAGCAATTCAGTCATTCACACGGACCCTTGGTTTTCACACAATGCCAGTCACCAGTCTGACAAACTTGACCAAATGGATTCAGTAATTTTTGGTCATGAAGCCCTGGTCTGTAATAACAGGGTGGTAAGAGATAGAGAAGAAAAGGAAATGATAAAAAGGGGGGGGCTGTTGAAACAAGTAATACTATTGTCATTAGATTCTTAGGTCCAGATCTGTGGATTAAAGCCGCCTTTTCTTGTTTTAAAAAAGCAGAGAGGGAAGTCCTCCCTCTGAGCCCAAGCCCCCACCTTGTGGCTCCATGGCTTCCCAGTAGGTCACCCCCCCCTCTCCTGCTGCATCCTGGGGTCAGAGCTAACTCAGGGAGATGGCTGAGAAAGTGTCAGAAGAGGAAGAACACAACCAAGCAGTGAAAATTAGAGTCCTCAGAGAGGAGCCCAGGAATAATGCAACCAAATTCATTCACCAGGGAGTTCTTTAAGTGGCTCTCAAATGGCACCCATCACACAAGCAAGCCTCCTGTCTTTGCAGCAAGCACAATAGGTACCAGATGAGTCACAGGCACCTTGGATTTTTCGTTTGCATCTAAATAAGCACTTTCTATTTGCAAAGGGCTTTCCAGTCATTTGCAAAAGGCTTTCTCCTTCAACAATTCCACGAAGGGAGGCCACGGAACTAAAGATTTATTGAACCCCCTGTCTGACCAAATAAAAGGTGGTGAAAAGCAACCCTCCCCAAGATCTGGGGCTCATTAAACCCAGGCAGGGGAGTGAGAGTAAGGCCCTCCCACCCAGGCAGGCCTCTTCCCCCCCCCCCACTCCCCACCCCCACCCCCACTGTCAGTTTCCCTAAAGAGGTGCCCTCCTCCTTTCCACCCCCATCCCACCCCTGCTCCCACTTTGGGACAGGGCTCTGGTTGGAAGTCGATCTTGGCCAGGGTACTAAGATCTTCCATAGATAGATAGGTTCCCCCACCCATGATGCAACTGGGAGTCAAAGCCAATCACAGTTCACCCATCTGAGCAGAATTGGTCCACGCTTGCAGGGGGTTCTATAGCTTCTGTACAGGTGTGAGAGTAGAACCCAATTCTTCTGCCTCTGCCACTATTACTTTCTAAATTGCTATGATGAATCCCTTTATTAGTGAAGGGAGGGGTGGGGCATTAGGGAGGGGGCAATGCCAGCAGCTGGCCTCTATAGGTACAGTTTTCTCAGGCTAAATGAAACACAACCCTAACTTCTTCAATGGCCTAGCTAATTCTAGCTGGTATGAAGCTACAAGCAACAGCAATCAAAATAGCTACTGTTTATTTAGTATGTACAATGTGCCAGGCACTTAGAGCTTTTCATTCTTTATTGCTAGTCCTTGATAATTCAGCAAGGCAGGTTCCCTGATGCATTTTACCAATACTGATTTGTAGGTCAGAATGCATCCATAAGCAGGTCATGATCGCAGAGCTAGTAAATGCGGGAAAGCAAGGAGGCACCCAGCCTGCCATTGTGTTGTTTTGTTTCTGGGTGCTGGGAATTGAACATAGGACCATGGGCATGCTACTACTGAATGACATCCCAGGGCTCTTTTTTTGTTTTGTAATTGTTTGGGGATTTGGGAGGGGGGGGGGGAAGGCAGGGATGCAATACATAGTCCAGACTGGCCTTGAACTCATGACCCTCCAGCCTCTACCTCCAAAGTTGAAGGATTACAGGTGTGCAGTGCACCCCATCTCTAGCCTGTCTGCCTCCTTGTACTCTAGAAACTGTCCTACTGTTCAAAGACATCTGTGAGTCTCACTCTAAGTCCCTATAGCTCTGGAAGGCCTAAATAGCAGGGACTCCGGGCAAGTCCATCAAACTTGCAGGGTCTCGGTTTCCTCATCTGTGCAGTAGACATAACAGCAACTGCCTCAGACTGTGACTGAGGAACGCCTGCGCGCCCGTTCTTTGATAAAGTCAATGTTCCCCAATAATCAGGAGTTACGTACACACAGAGACATCAATTCACCGAGACGAACAATCTCTGATCCCTTAGCACAATATGTAAGGTAACGATCATACTGTGTCTTCAGTATTTAAATAAGTACCGGGCACTGGAGTAACGAAGTTCAGTCACACGGGAAAGCCTCAGAGCTGGGACAGAGAGGAGACACCGCCACCCCCCCACCCCCGGTCCTTATCTCTAAAGCGCAGGGACCTCGCCACCCTAAGAAAGCACGGACACAAGGCAGGCGGGCTGGCAGCGGGCGCGGGGACGGCGGCACAGCGGGTCCGCCGGTCCCGGAACGCGCAGCTCGCCCGGCGGGCCTGCGCGCACAGGTGGCCCCGGGCCAAGCCCAAGGCGGTGCTTGACGCTCGCGGTCGGTCATCCGACCGGTCATCGGCCATCGCTCCGAGAGGAAACCGGAGGCTAAACAATCTGCCCGGATAGGACTTGGGGTCCCGCAGGCACCTGGAGGGGGCGGGGGAGGGCTTCCCGCCTGCCCCTCCCCGCAGAGCCTGGAGAGCCCCCAGGTGAGCCGTGAACTTCTCACCCCAGCAGAGCTGGCAGCCTTCTTGCTGCATTCTGGTGCCCTCTGATGGCGGATTCTGGAACAGCATGGGCAAAGCTGGCGAGGGCCTCGTTTATGCTAACGGGTTGAATCATGCTTTCAAAAAGAAAGGGGGGGAGGAAAAAAGTGTGATGTGACAGTGATACATTGTAGTCTTGTCTCTCACTTCTTACCAAGTTAGGAATCTTTGACAGAAGTCTCCCCTAATCTAGACTTCCTCAAACTTGTCTAGTGATAAGATACATTCGCTTGTTAAAAATACTCATCTCTGGACCCCGGATGTCACTGGGTGGTAGAGAGAGCTCTTGCCTAGCATGCACAAGCCCGGGTTCCATCGCCAACATCGCAAGGAAATAAAACAAAGGAAAAAAATACACGTTCCTGGGTTCCCCTTCCAGAAGTACCGCATTAAGATCTCTAGGGGCCTGGCCTGGAATCTGCATTTTTAGCAGGACCCTCCTATCCCCTCTCCTCATCCCAGGCAATTACAAGTATCCAGTTATTGAGGAAATTCAGCCCTGAGCGTTCAGAAATGCTCTGCAAGAGCACGTGGTCTTTCCTGGGGAAATCTTGTTCTGTGCTTCAGCCAAGGGGATGGGGTACTTAGACCTGGGAGATTTAGCCCTATAGGGCCACCCCAATTTTTTGGCTCTGAGTACATCATTGATCTCCCCAAATCTCCTCTTCTTTGGGGAGGAGAAGGCTGCTACTTGCCATAATGTCCTGCCTCATGGCACACCCAAAGTAATGAGCCAGCTAATCAAGGACTGAAACCTTTAGCTCTCCAGTATTTATTACTGCTAAGAAAAAGGTTGACTAATACCTCGTGTAAAAACAAAAAGACAAGATTTTTAAATAAACCTCCATCGGGCTATTACTCAGATCTATTTTCAAAGCCTCTATTAGTTGAAACACTCACTTTGAGGGCAGAATTTGTATTAGGATACAAGCAGGGGGAAAACATCTTCCTGAAGGACAGGAGTATTACTGTCTAGAAAGCTATGGAAGAAAGTTAAAGGCCCCCAGACCTGCATCAAGAGTCTGTGAAGTAAAGGACACGGGACTTGGAGCTGCTGGTGCTGGAAAAATCACTCAGAAACTTCCCAGCAACCTGCTGCTATTATATTGTTTATGTTCTTCCTTCCTTTCTCTGCTCTTCCTCTCAAGAACTTGGTCATCTCAGCCTTTCTCCTTTCATTCAACCAACACTTTGCTAACTCCTCTCTGACATGTGCTGGCCTGGTTCCTTCTTTAGTAACCTCTTTCAACTTGTTGTCACAATGGCTCCACATCCCAAGCCTGACACCTCCGCCCTTGTTTTCACAGGTACACTGCAGTGGTCATGCCAGTTCACTATCAGCATGGTACAGGGCAGAGTTCCTGTCGACGTGTGGCCCTCATGATCACAGCCGTGTGGGTCCTGGCCTTTGCTGTGTCCTGCCCTCTCCTCTTCGGCTTCAACACTACAGGTAACAGCGGAGGCTTCCCGGAGAGCACCTAGAGATTCACAGCATCCCCACGTGGCTGGGAGTGACGGCCACCCCTGACATTTCTCAGCCCAGTCTGATCCATGGGCTTTTTGCAACCAAAAGAGAATGCTGTAGACTGCAAAGCATTTTCCTTTTGTTGGATATAAATAAAGTATAATGCAAAATCTTATCAAGTATTGGCACAGGGGCAAAATACTTTCCCACTTAATAAAAAACCTGACATATCCCTACTTTGAAAGAAATGCTGCTGGGAAGGTGGCTCAGTGGTAAAGCACTTGCCTTGCATGCATGAGGCCCTGGGTTCGATTCCTCAGCACCACATAAGCAGAAAAATAAAAAGCCGGAAGTGGCGCTGTGGCTCAAGTGGTAGAGTTGTAGCCTTGAACTGAAGAGCTGAGGGAGACAGCACCCAGACCCAGAGTTCAGGCCCCACGACCGGACCCAAAAAAAAAAAAAAAAAGAAAGAAAGAAAGAAATGCTATTGTACTCATTTGAAGAAATGTAAGTTTAAAAGTGAAACTATGTTAATAATTCAGCTAAGGTTTGCTAATGAAAAGATAACACATTTACAATGCAAAATAATAAATTATGAAAAGTAGGGCTGAGAATGTGGCTTAGTGGTAGAGTGCCTGCCTAGTATGCATGAAGCCCTAGGTTCAATTCCTCAGTACCACATACACAGAAAAAGCAGGAAGAGGTGCTGTGGCTCAAGTGGTAGAGTGCTAGCCTTGACCAAAAGAAGCTCAGGGACAGTGCTCAGGCCCTGAGTTCAAGCCCCAGGACTGGCAAAATAAAATATAAAAAGTCTTTGAGTTGGCTATATATTATTTCTAAGCAGACATTTGTTTGTTTGTTTTTGCAGTATGAGATTTGAACTCAGGGCTTTGTGCTTGCTGAACAGGTACTCTTACTGTTGAACTATGCCTCCAATAGGCTATCTATTCCTAACTTTTTCAATAATAAGAATTATTCCTGACACTTGGGAACTAGTATAGATTCTCAAAATACCGAAGCATATTTTTAATTTTGATTATGATAGTTGGTAGATGGTATACCTAAATGGATCGAATGGATATATGGATGGATGGATGGATGATGTCTATATCTGAGATGGTTTGGACTTTAAGCATATGGCATCCATCCAGATTTGCATATCATGTGAATCAGTGCTTTCTATGCCTATCCCATGTCCATTTTTCAGCCTCAGGAAATTTGTATGTTTTATAAAAGCTATTGACAACGCACACTTTGTGTTTCGCTAAGAGAGAACTAGATGGCTAGAGTTGTGTTATTCACCTTAATTTATTTTGTCCATTTGAATTGGTTTGTTCAATTTCTACTTGGTTCCATGTTTGTGAATTTTTGATCCAGTTAAGTGTACTCATATTATATATAATGTACTACATATAAATATAGACAAATCCTCACTTATAATCATTCACTCAGAGCCTTATACTTGTTTGGCTGGTGCTTTACCAGTTGAATCATACATACCTCCAAGCCCAGCTGGAGGTATGTTGGTGTTTGCCTGGTTCACTTAAAGTATTCCTAAGATTTGATATTGTGATTATCTTGTTATTCTTCTTCACTTGTTACTTCCTTATTTTAACTGCATGACACATACACATATTTTAATTGCACATACACACACAGCAAAGCTGCATCTTGCGGTGCTGTGGTAGCAGCTGACTCTGTGACACTATAATCCCCCTTTGTGCAGAGCATTAAACATGCTTGATGACTTAGTTGCACAACTAAATCACTTCTGTAACTTTATTTCTTTTGTTGTTGGTGGTGTTGGTGGTGGTGGTGGTCATGAGGCTTGAACTCTGGGTCTGGGCGCTGTCCCTCAGATCTTCAGCTCAAGGCAAGCATCCACCACTTGAGCCATAGTGCTACTTCCAGTTTTCTGGTAGTTAATTGGAGATAAGAGTCTCACAGACATTCATGCCTGGGCTGGCTTTGAAGCACAATCCTCAGAGCTCAGCCTCCTAAGTAGCTGGCTTTACAGATGTGAGCCACCAGCTGTAACCTTATTTCTATGTGCAAATGTCTTTTAAGTGGAAATTTGAATGAAGAACTGTCTGCCACTGGTAACAAAGTTACATTCTGCCAACCTTTGCTGAGCTGAGTATGGCTACTATAGCCATTCATTCTCAGAGGCTGATGGAGTCAGTCATATTTACTCTCTTTCTCATACACACACACCCTGGAAAAAGCTGAAACCATCTCCAGACCCCACAGTTGACAGGCATCCCAGCTAATGTCAACATCAAACTTGAAGAATGATGAGTACCGCAATGTCATGCCCCCAGTGACATCATTAGCATCCCAGAAACAGAACTCAGGACAAGTTTTCCAAAAAGAACTTCAGATTTATAATTGAGCAAACAAACAAACAAACCTGTTCTTGCAGGTTACTTCTCTCACAACCTCCCTCTAGTTTTTTTAATTCTAAAGATTACACTGTAGTAAGGCCTCTGTTATTCAGATTGTGTGGTCAGATGCCAAGTCCACTGTGCAGCTTAATACATATGATCTGTCATTGCTACTACTATTTGTTAGAAAAGGTTTGGGGGTTTTTTTTTGGTGGTGGTGGTGGTCATGGGGTTTGAACTCAGAGTCTGAATGCTCTCAAGTTTTCTGGTGGTTAATTGGAGATGAGTCTTATAGACTCTTCTGCCCAGCACCAGTGGCTCACGCCTGTAGTCCTAGCTACTTAGGAGGCTGAGATCTGAGGATCGCGGTTCAAAGCCAGCCTTGGCAGGAAAGTCTGTGAGACTCTTATCTCCAATAAACCACCAGAAAACCAGAAGTGGCACTGTGGCTCAAGCAGTAGAGCACTCTCCTTGAGCTGAAGAGCACAGGGACAGCATCCAAGCCCAGAGTTCAAGCCCCATGACCGACAAAAAAAAAAAAAAAAAAAAAAAAGACTTTTCTGCCCAGGCTGGCTTTGAACTGTGATCCTCAGATCTCAGCCTCCTGAGTAGCTAGCATTATAAGTATGAGCCACCAGCACCCAGCTTATACTTTTTTTTTGTCAGTTGTGGGACTTGAACTTATGGCCTGGGCCCTGTCCTTGAGCCTCTTTGTGCTCAAGGCTAGTGCTCTACTACTTGAGCCACAGCACCACTTCCTAGAAAAGTTTTCTGTGCCTCAAAGTGTACACATCTGCCCCTGGGAAGATTTAAACAATTGTCTTTCTATTGCTGGGAGTGAGTACCAAGTTGGTCTCAGAGAGGGATGGAAAGACTGAGGCTTCTACCCAATATATTCCAGGTTCTTGTCACCACCTGAAAAAAATTCAGAGACCAGACAAAGTCCATCTTTTATTGCAAACCAAAATCCCTCATGTCAGGAGTAAGTACAGAGGCTCTCAGAGTGCGTCCCAGACACCGGGATTTGAGAAAGCACGTGCCACAGCCAAGCTTGATAGAAGGGGGATAGTTCATAATCTAAGGCCCAGACTTGATGGGAATTTCTGGGATAGATCAGGGATTTTCTCAGAATGGAGTTTGCTCCCCGGTGTGTCCTTCCGTGGGGTTCTTGGATGTGAGATGATGTCAGATGTATAATAGGAACTGGAAATTTTGCAAGGCTAGTGATGCGGAGATGCTGTTATCCTAAAGCAAATGACAAGAGAAGGTCATCTTTGTGGGCCATATTGGTCCCAGCTGGTTCTAGTAAGGTCTGGCTTTTCTCTGCTTGAGCGGCCACATGACTGACATCCTGCTGCAATGCAGCTCTGCTGTTGCATCGTATTCCAACCACAGTGGGCAGCCTCTCCCCTCGGGCTGTCCAGCCTACCAGAGCTCCTTCCTGGGTCAGGGGCTTAGTGAGTGGAGTTCAGGCAGCGGAGACCAGGCATCTTCTGCCCTAGCCTAACCTTCACAGTGTAGCTTCGTTAGCTCAATAAACTGTGAGTCCTTCAGCAATTCCCCAGCTATAAGAAAGTTTCTATAGTCACTTGAAAACCCAACATAAATGATTTCTTTCAGCCAGTTTTCCCCCTGCTCCTTCTCTTCAAACTAAAGGAGAAAAGGGTATAGGGTGCTACCGGTAACAACTGTTGTGGGAACTAGCTAGGCTTTAAGAACCACAACACACACACACACACACACACACACACACACACACACACACACACACACACACGCGCGCACACACAAAGAACCTTCCAGTAGAATTCTTCTTTTAAGGACACGTGCTGCCATATATGGTTGTAAATTGTTAAAGAATATAGAGAAAAGTTGAACTTTTAGTCCAAGTTCAACTTGGACTTGCTCCTATTGTCTGAGAAAAAGGCATCCAGGGGTGGGATCTTGTGTCCCAGGACGCTTCAAGGCTGTAGGGCCTGGCGTGCCAGTGTTGCCCTAGCTCCCAGCTGCGGCCCTGCAGGCTTGTCAAATAGCACATCAACAGCCTCTAAGAAAGCTAGAGCTTGTGGGGTGTTGATGTGGGAGGCTCCTAACAATCTCAGAATGAGCCATTCCATCCTTTCATTTCACAGATAAGAAAAATAACTAGCATTGGAATTTCTTCTAAATCAGATAGCTATTGTGTTATTTTTTTTAAAATTCTAGGATGAATAAGCAATAGCTAGTGACAAGGGTTTAAGAAAGCTTCAGAGGGAAAAAAACTTAAAGAGTTAAGCACATCCTATCCACTGACTTGATTTTTCTTTTTTCTTTCTTTCTTTTTTTAAATAAAAGAAGTGCAGGAGTGCTATTTATTTGATTTTACAATAGAACATCTCACCTGGCTTTCAGAACCCTAAAAGCTCAGAAAAGCTTGGTTGTGCAATAAGTTAAGAGAAGAATAGAAGCATACAGGTAAAAGAATAATGGCTCATCCTACAATCAGGTTCATCAGGCATCTCCCCTCTCTGGAATCCATAAAGGTCAAATAATTCTGTGAGTGTGAAGTTGATGAATTTTTCAAGTCAACCTCCTTTTGACCTTGCTATTCACATTACTACAGGAGCTCAAGTGACCAGGTTAGCCCACAAAAGCCTTAGACCCATAGTAGATTTATTTTTTTTATTACCTAGAACACAATTAGTGTGCGATAAAAGTTTGCCAAATGAATAAGTAAATGAATCTTCACCATCATCCTTTCTGTCTTAAATGTTAAGTACCTCTAATCTTAGAAAATGAGATCTCTCTCTCTCTCTCTCTGTCACACACACACACACACACACACACACACACACACACACACACACACACTTCCCCATTATCCTTCAGTCAGTATTTATATGCTTAGATAGAATTCACATTTGCACATTTTTATTTATTCATACATTCATGTCATAAAATGACATACTTCTCTGTACATTGCTGTTTTGGTTTGTTTTGAGGAAGGCTTCCAGGTTTTTAAAGCCCAAGCCACCTGTAGAGGACTCAACAGATGTGCTCCCAGAATCGACTGTGCAGTGCTCCTCACAGCCCCCTTGCCTCCCTAGTAACAGGATGCCCAACACACTGGGCCTGTGGCGGCCTGGGCCCCACTCAGTGTCACTCTGCCTATTGTGCAATCCTCAAGACCACATAGCACGGAAAGTCTGTGGGGAGCTGCAAAGTTTGATCAGAGAGCAGGCAGCAGCTACTTCAATAGAGAAGAGAAGGGTGACAGTCCAAGTTCAGTGATTATAAACGAGGGCCATCGTGGTCAGTGATCCTGAAATAGCTGTGCGCCCTCTCTCTGCTCTCACTCATACATACACTTGCAAAATGTTAATGTAAAAATAAATGCTTGCACAAGATGAAAACACTCATACGGTGCAATGAAAGATGGACATACTCTTACATAGATCTCTCTCCTTCCTCATGTCCCTATCCCTTCCCGAGAAGCAAACACTGATATTCTTGAAAGATAATGCTTGTAACAAGCATACTCAGGCATATGTGTGTATGTCTCTCTCTCTCTCTTTTTTAACACAAATAAATGTACTTCTAACTCTGGCTTTAAAAACACGGTATTCGTGGGCTGGAAATATGGCTTAGTGGTAGAGAGCTTGCCTAGCATATATGGAGCCCTGGGTTTGATTCTTCAGTACCACAGAAACAGAAAAAGCCAAAAGTGGTGCTGTGGCTCAAGTGGTAGAGTGTTAGCTTTGAACAAAAAGAAGCTCAGGGAGGGCTGGGAAGGTGACTCAGTGGTAGAGTGTTTGCCTTGCATGCATGAGGCCCTGGGTTTGATTCCTCAGCACCACATAGCAGAAAAAGCTGGAAGTGGTGCTGCGGCCCAAGTGGTAGAGTACTAGCCTTGAGCTGAAGAGGTAAGGGACAGCGCCTAGGCGAGGAGGAGGAGGAGGTGGAGGAGGAGGAGGAGGAGGAGGAGGAGGAGGAGCAGCAGCAGCAGCAGCAGCAGCAGCAGCAGCAGCAGCTCAGGAGCTCAGGGACAGTGCTCAGGCCCTAAGTTCAAGTCACAGGACTGGAAAAACAAAACAAAGCAAAAGAACAAACAAACCAAAAAAACCCATAGTATTCCATCTGTAAAATTTTAATGTCAGGCTAAGAAGTATGTGGGTAAGACTAGCAAGAGAGATCTCTTTTTCAGTCTGTGTGGCTTTGAATCTCTCTGTGCTTTAGTCTGCTCATCTGAAAATACAAACAGTCATGGAATCTGCCTAATGTACTGTTGATGTAACAATTGTGAAATATAATACATAAAGAGCCCATGACCTGTGGTCTAGTAGTTATTAGCTTACTTCCCTTTTTGTTTTCAAGAGGGGCAAGTTTCTGTTCCCTTCTTGTGCACTGGGGCAATCTCCACACTTGCTAGTGAAGACCAAGCCATTGGGACATCTTTCAGGGTGGCAGGAGTCACATAGAAGAGTGATGAGGATTCTTCAGAATTCACATTTTCCTCTGTGACCATATCTTAATCAGTTCTCTTTCCATTCCTCCCTGGCCAAGTGCTGGGATTTCCTGCAAAAGCAAATGCCTATCTTCTATTCAGCCATCACCGACCCCAAGTCCTGGGTTAAAAGAAGCCATCTTCTCTTCCTGCCTCCATACCAGCAGGCCCTTTTCTGGAACATCCCTTCTTGGGCTTCTGCTCACCTGCTCAGGGACCCTCCCCAACCTCCCGGGCTACAGTACTACACGTGACACTAACCGTGCCACACAGAGAGGTCATTGCTTATCCAAATAGTTTGCTCACAAAGGCAGACACAGTGTCTAATTCATCTCGCAGCCCCAGTGCGCAGCAATGTCTGGCATATAATTATTGGTCAATGAACTGTAAGTAACACAACGATGAATTGGCTTCCTGCCCTTGAGCTTATTTCATAGGCATGTGAGACTACGTGTTCTGTCCCACCCTCCCCATCATGAAAAGGTGGAGGAAGTGTAGACTCAGGGCTCCCCACAGAGGCCCAATCCTTAGCAAACTGTGTTGCCTTCTCCCCATCTCTCACCCACAGGGGATCCCAGCATCTGCTCCATCTCCAACCCTGATTTTGTCATCTACTCTTCAGTGGTGTCCTTCTATGTGCCCTTTGGGGTGACTGTCCTCGTCTATGCCAGGATCTACGTGGTGCTGAGACAAAGGAGAAGAAAACGGATCCTCACGAGACAGAACAGTCAATGTATCAGTGTCCGACCTGGCTTCCCTCAGCAGGTAAGCACCTGGAAGGCGCAGAGGAAAGCTTGCACCAACCCCTGGACTTGCTAGCCTTCTGTCCAGCCAACCTTGTTTGCAGCCACAGGGGCTGATTGTGTCTGTGTACCACTCAGAAGATATAGCTTTAATCCACCTTCTAATCTGCTGGTATTAGCTATGCTTTGAAGGTAGTAAATCACATCTCAAGAGTGCATTTAGTCTTCCTAGAACTCACTGGGCAAGACAAGAGGACAGTCTCTGGATGATTCTACTTCCTTTCAGAGCCTTTCATTTACTCCAAATGACCAGCAATTCAGATGTCCCACAAGTTTTGAGGTTTTGTGTGATTTGCTTGGTTGAGGTTTTTAATCAGTTCAAGTTGTACTTTGAACTGTTGGTGGAGTCCCCCACCTCCATCAAGTTTCTGTCCAAACTACTCATCCCAAGAATCATTAGCATGCATGCACTGAAGCTTTTTTTTTTCTCCCCTTTGTGATTGGTAGAAAGAGATGGATCTCTCTAGGATCTGAAAAGGCAGGGTATTGCTCAGTACTGAGCTTCCAATTATTAGAACTTTGGAGCTTGCTTGTCTTATGCTTAGCTCCATAAATGGATAAATAGGGGCTACTTGTAATCTACTAGTAAGGGGAATCTGGGAAAATTACACAGACTCTGCCTTCATGGAGCTTGTAATACTGACAGAAAATAAAGCCTACCTTCACCCAAAATCTATGAACAGTTCCTAACTGAAGGAATACTTTTGGTTTGGGGGTAGGAGTTTTTCAGGGGGGTGGGGTAGAGAATAGTTGGGATTTGGACTCAGGGTTCTTGCTTGCTGTAGACACAGAGCCACATGCCCAATGTTGGTTTTTTTTGCACTTGTTATTTTCCTTTTTTAAAAAACTTTTAAATTATTTTTACATAGTTGTTCAACAGGACTTCAACTCAACATTTCAGTTATGAGTACAATGCATCTTGATCATTGTCACCCCTGCTATCATTCTCCCTGCCTCCCCTACTATCTTAACACTACTCCTCCCTAGTTTGCTCTGGTTATTTTGAGATCAAGTCTGGCTTTATGCCCAGACCCAGGCCTGGACTACAATATTCCTATTTTACAGTTTAGACAGTAACTAAGATGACAGGTATGCATCACTGCACACTGTCATTGAAATAGTCTCGTGAACATTTTTTGCCTGGTTTCGTTTAGAAAAAAAAAATTATCCTTCTAATCTTGGCCCTCTGAGTAACTGGAATTACAACTAGAGCTACTGCACATGGCTCTGAGGGGGGCGGGGGGGGGGGTGAATGTGTGCCACATGTGAAGTACAGACAATTAAGCACCCAAATATGAAGTGCTGTGAAGATAAAAACAAAAAATCCAATTTGCTTAGGAAAAGGTAAGACAGAGAAAGAACTGAGTTTAATCTTTAAGATAGAACCAGTTAGGGTGTCTAGATCAGTCTCTGATGAACTAAGTGAAGGGAAGACTCTCAAAGTTGAAGTTTCAGTGCTTGAGTAGAACAAGATGGATGATCCTCATAAACTGAGGTGGCCAGGACCCAAGGCCAGTATTGGAACACAAGGCATTCAAAGTATGTTATGTAGGCTACATGGTTACAAGCGATACACCTCAGCAATGTGGAACTTAGCTCACAACTGTTTCTTCTTCAACCTACCCTAGTCTTCCTGTCTGCGGCTGCACCCCATTCGGCAGTTTTCAATAAGGGCTCGATTTCCATCAGATGCTACAGGACAAATGGTAAGTAGACCATGTCTTGGATCATAGGAAAGCAATATGAGACCTTTCCCTAGAATTCAGTCATACCTTGATTTTATTCCTGTTCCCAAATAGAATTTAGCCTTAATCCCACACTTACATTTTAATAGATGATAGGATCTGCCATAAAGCTTCAGAATAGGATTCATCAAATGGTATTCACAGGGCCTATGACTATTGGCCTAGATTCCAGTAACTGAGGCCAATGATTCTCAGATATGGTATGAGGAGCTATTCAGAGCCACCTGCAAGAGAGGGAATGAGACATCAATGAAACACACATAGGTAACACCAAAAGATATAAATGAATAAAGCAGACTTTCAAATGTCCTTTTTGCCATTCAGTGTGGGGGCAAACAGGATGATTCATGGTCGTTCTAACTCTTACCTTTCCAATTTAAGCCAGTCCTGACAACCTCCAGATAGCAGAGCATTGAATAGAGCCTGAAAAAGTTAAATATAAAGACCAATATTCATCTTCCTTAGTACTGCATTGGGAGTTAAACTTCACAAGCCCGCAATGATGAGAGTCTGAGTCTTGTCCAGTCTCTGTATAATTAATTAACCACTTTTTGTACCTAGGCTTGATGTAGTAATTAGAGGCCCTTTTTGTAAATGATGAAAGATAGATAAGCAGCTTAAATTTTCCCAGTGGCAGATCAAGGTCTCAGGAGGCTTCAAGGCCAAAGGAAAAGTGTTGACTAAAAAGGGGGGATTTGTGAGCCAGCTGCTGCATTGCCAGGAGTATGAAGCGCTGGGTTCCATCCTGCCATCTGGGAAGGGAGGTCTCTGCCAGCCAGTGGCACAGGAACCTGCTTCTCATGTCAGTCCCAGAGACAGGGACAAGGATATGCAGAACGAACTGAACAATGTACACAAGAATCAAATTCCTCCTGTAGGACTATCTACAAGTACAAAGTAGAAGCACAATGTTCCCCAGTGAAATAGAATTTATTCCCAGTTTTAAAAATAACTGAAATTATCCTTTAGTTTCAGAAATAACTCATCAGGAGCTAAATATTGTCATTTTTAGAGGATCAATAAGTACCACATTAATCATAAACATGATCTTGGTTATAAATTGTCAAAACATAATATGCTTATATTAATTATTAGGAATCTCATCAAAATGAAAGCCAATTTTTTTCAACACATATTCCTTTAGAATTCTGAAGAATAACTCTGTTGCACACAGTTTGTTAAAACACTAGTTCATCTTGATAAGGTTTTTGGATTTGCTTATTCCTTCCACCATGTTTAGAGTATATGGTGTGCTGACATTGTATATAAGGAAATCAAGATTGCTTTTTTTTTTTTTTGGGTCCGGTTGTGGGGCCTGAACTCTGGACCTGGGCGCTGTCCCTCAGCTCTTCAGCTCAAGGCTAACGTTCTACCACTTGAGCCACAGCACCACTTCCGGCTTTTTTCTTTTTGCTTATGTGGTGCTGAGGAATTGAACCCAGGGCCTCAGGCATGCAAGGCAATCACTTTACCACTGAGCCACCTTCCCAGCCCCAGAAACCAAGATTTCTTGAACTAGGGAAAAAGAAGCAAGGTGTTTGGGTGTTGACACCAACTGACTTGAGTAGACAAGAAAAGCTAGCCAGGTAGCTCACAGACTTAGTGAGTAGGCTGAAGATCAGCTCCAGAGGTTGTTCATGCCCCAGCAATTATTTAGTTAGAAGACCTAGGAACCTGGACACTGAAAGTCACCATTGGTAAATCAAGTCCGAAGTCTCCCCACTTCACTAGTTCTGGTTTGAAGTCTCAGGTGTGAATCTCCAATACCTTAGACTTGGTTCATATAGCAGAACTTCAGTCCTGGAGAAACAGAAAAGGATACAGAATGAACAGCTGACTCTTATGGCTTTTATCCTTCGAACACGGAAGAAGTTCAGATGTTGGACATACATTTGTCTGTTCCTTCGCCAGCCACATTCCAGAAAAATTCACCTTCCTTATTCTATTCTTAGAGACCCATTTCCCCAAGCTGTTTGTTTGGCTGATTGGTTTTGCTTTTCTGTTTTTCTGTTTTGCAAATGAGACGAAGAGATATTAAGTCACCTTGCTGAGAGATTATGTCCACTAAGGAGGAAAGCTGAGACAAACAGCTTGAGTTTGGCTTTCTCTTCATAACTTTATGTCAAAGAAAATTTCAAATGTAAAGAGAATACCAAATATAACAGTTGTTATCAGTTTGTTTCAGCAATTATTAACTTTTGACCCATCTTATTTTATTGATACTCCTTTCTGATATTCACACACACACACACACACACACACACACACACACACACACACTTACACTAATCTATTAAGAAACAAATCCCAAATATAGCATTTTCAACTGAAAATATTTCTATAAGATCATCAAAGATTTGAAAACTTTTTTTTTTTTGGGGGGGGGGGAAAGTCCGGTCATGGGGCCTGAACTCTGGACCTGGGCACTGTCCCTCAGCTCTTCAGCTCAAGGCTAACGCTCTACCACTTGAGACCCAGCACCACTTCCGGCTTTTTTTCTTTTTGCTTATGTGGTGCTGAGGAATCAAACCCAGGGCCTCATACATGCAAGGCAAGCGCTCTACCACTGAGCCACCTTCCCAGCCCTTGAAAATTTTATAAAGAGTAATCCCAATGCCAAATCACACTGGAAATAAGAATTCTCTATTATCACTGAATATCTAATCAACGTTTAAATTTCCAAAATTGTCTCACCAATATTTTATGATTGGTTGATCTGAATACAAATTCCAATAAAGCCCATATCCTTGTACCACTCAAGCATTGTTGTTGTCATCACTATTTCTTTTTGAAGAAATGGAATCATTTGCTGTGTAGAGTTTCATGCACTGGCACTCCAGATTTTGCCACCTACATCCCAATGCTGTCATTATCTATGTTCCTGTCTATAGTCAGGTCAGTCTAACTCAGAAAGGCCAGGCTACTATCCTTCACTGCCCTCTTCAAGATATTGTTGCAATGATTGACTGTGCTGCGTGTAGCAAATACTTGTGAGTTATAAAGTCAGGAGCAGATTTCATTCCCATAACTTGCCATGGTCTTACCCCTTGCCTTCTGTAGGTTTTATACAGCAATGTTCTCCTCTTCCTTCTTTGCAGTTTCTTTCCCTTTCAGGGACATACAGAAGATAAACAATATCCCCAGAAATGTCAAGACCCTCTCTTGTCACCCTTGTAGCCTCTGTCTCCTGGCCGGGCACACATGGAGCTGAAGCGTTACTATAGCATCTGTCAGGATACTGCCTTGAGACGGCCCAGCTTCCAAGAAGGAGAAGAACGGAAAAGAGAGGAGAGGGTGCAGAACTCCCTGAGCCCCACCTTGGCACCTAAGCTCAGCTTAGAGGTACGAAAGCTCAGCAATGGCAGGTTATCAACATCTCTGAAGCTGGCTCCCTTGAACCCTCGAGGGGTCCCGCTTCGGGAGAAGAAGGCAACCCAGATGGTGGCCATTGTGCTTGGTAAGTGAGCTTGCATGAGCTGGGTTGGGTTGCATCACGTTCACCTGGAGCTGGTGGCAGGTTCTAGAGTAGCCACCTTTGACAGAAATGAAAATTGCAATGACTCTCATATTTATAAAACATGTATAGTATAATTGAAAAGGATTACTATATACATTTTAACACTAGTAGAAATCCAAAATAGCTACATGAAATTTGTGATGCTTCCTAAGACTCCTAATTGAACTGCATCTTATAGAATTACAATGTATATAGGATTATAGAATCATATAGAAGTATAATGTATAAATCAAATGCTACTGCTTTAACAAAATTCTTTAGTACATGATTATTTAATACATCTTTTACTTACCTTAAAATATTAAGTGAAAAAAATAAGGATACATAACAATACTGTCATATGGCATAATAACATCTAGGTTATTTTAATTAGGGGGGAGGGGAGACTAAAAAGAAATTCACCAAGGAGTCAAAAGTGGTTGAGTGATGGGTGGTTACTTTTCTCTTTCTACTTTCTTGTGTTTACCAAATGTCCTATTTTGTATGCAATAGAAGTTCTTCTACTAATTTCTTAGTAGGAAAAGATAAACTTCACTTAGAAAAATTGAAACTTCATAAGTCATAGGTGCCATATAGCACTAATAAAGGCAATTCATTTCATTCAATATTATTGGTAAGCCCAAATATTTTCATATGCTAGGGGCTTTATTAGCACACTTAGATGTCATCCCTCAACAATAGGTACTATATTTAAGGTCTTCCTCCCTACCCAAACAGGGATCATGTCTTGAGTAGGAAAATTCAAAATAAATTTAATTGAATGCAGGAGAAAATATTGGTACATAGTTGCCTAAAGTCCAAACTCAAACATTGGCTCTGTAACAAAGGCCTGAAGTAAAGATATTAGCGTGTCATTTTCTAAGAGAAAAGATGTGCATAATGACACTTACTTCCTAAGGTCACTGGAAAAAGTAGATGTAATATAAAACTTCCAGCCTAGACAACTGTAAGCTATTTTCATGGTGTAACCAAAGGGGTAACAAAACCCCTTACCCAATTTCTCTCTTCCTTTGTAACCCAGGGGCCTTCATTGTCTGCTGGCTACCTTTCTTCTTGACCCACGTTCTTAATACCCACTGTCAAGCTTGCCACGTGTCCCCAGAGCTTTACAGAGCCACAACATGGCTAGGCTATATGAACAGCGCCCTCAATCCTGTGATTTATACCACCTTCAATGTGGAGTTCCGCAAAGCTTTCCTGAAGATTCTGTCTTGCTGAAGGACAGAAGACAATGATGCTGAATCCATCTCTAGCTGCCAGTCTGTTGGGCCCCTGGCCAGGGCCTGCTCACAAAGACTGCATTACCCTCTGGCATGTGGCACAGATATGGTTTTTGGAGCAGGACGTCCCTGTGTGGCAGGTAAAACCAATTGCTTCCTACAGAACAGGATGTTCTACCTCCCCAGCTCACATCTGACTTCATGTTGACAACCTCCAAATGGCTAAGGGTCCCGAAATGACAAGCAATAATTCAGAAAGAACCTAGTAAACCATGGCTCTACACAAATACAGAGAATTGTCACTGGAGGCATGATTCATTGCAGTGAAGGAAAAATGAACAAATTTCCTCATTCTCAACCTGCCAGGATCCTTGACTTCTCAGCCAGTAAACCATCCTGCAAAACAACCAGCCTCTCTTCCTTCAGACATCTAATTAACTGTTAGCTGACTTACCTTGTGCTTTTGTGGATCCATTCCTTCTTGGTTGTTGTTTTTCTTTTTTTTTCCTTTCACTGTATCCTGAAATATGAAAGGCAAGGTCAGTGCTTCTACCTCTGTAGAATCCAGTTGGCTACATTTGGTAAAAGGAGACACTGTCCCACATTGGGACCTGGGCTTGGCTTCAACCTTACTACCGTGTATGTGAACACTAGCTAAGAAGGCCCTTTGACACCATTCCCGTACCTCCTGAGGAAATCTTAAGGTCTCAGTTTCCAGAATCACCCAAGGTGTCTATGTTACCTGAAAAAGGACTAACAATTCCCAGTATCACTGTTGGACTTTGTGGTTCAAACCATGTCTTACGTATGTGTTCCAGAACACTTCAAGCTTTTCCTAGACAGGACTCTCAATCTGCTTGACAGAAACCCAAGACTTTCAGATCCAGAGACATTTGCTATGTCTGCCAGTAATAGTCACACCCAGTCAAATGACAATAAACATAATGACTAAGGCAGTTGCTGTTGTCAAAGATCTCACCACCTGTTCCTCAACTTTCCCTTTTACTAATTAGTCCAATGGTGGTAGGAACTCACATAAAACTTCCAGGGGACTCACAGCTGAGGCTACCATTGTGGCTGGTATGAACATGTATGAACAGTCTGACAAAACCTAGTACAGATTCTAAACCTCACCACTCCAACATCTGAGCTCAAAACTATCACATAATTGGTAACTGTCCTTCAAAATTGCATTTAGAAGAAACTAAGATATTCTCACCATTAACCTCCCTACCTTCTTAGCTCATTTTCATTGATTATTATAGAACCAAGGTAAGACTTACGGATAACTTATGAAATATTATTCTGAATATCAATCAATTTACCTTCAAGAGCTTTTAGTATATAGGCATGACACAAACCTGTGGCAAGGCTATTGAAACTTTAAAGTGCACAAGAACTTTACAAGGAATCTAAGGCCTTCCTCTTCCAACTTTATTCTTCTAATTCTTCAGTTTACAACAAGGAAATAAATATTCCCCTAGTGACTTAGTTATCTGTTATTCCTGAATGCTTTGAATTCCAGCATTTAAAAATGTTATTATCTATAATAATATTTGTATTTCAAGTTGATGGGAAAATTTTGCCTGCCCATTTGGGTCTTATACCTTGTGCCATCTAGCTTGATAAATTTATGGCACAAGCAAAGCCAAGTCCTGTGACAATGAAAATATGCAGAAGTGAAGATTTATGATTCTGAAGGGTTTTCATGCAACGTAAACAGAAAAAAGGTGAGCCAATTGGGTAAAAGATCACAGAATTCCATGTTAAAATCAGTGTGTTGCAGGCAGAAATGTAAACATCAGTGTCATCATAATATAAAGAAAAATGATAACAAATCTCTTGTATCTTTACTTTACATCAAGTATCTTGTACGAGGATTTATTACATGTGGTTTGACTTAATAGGGTCAAAAAAAGATAATAAATGAAGAAGAAAAAGACATTTCCAAAACCAAAGATTTGAATTCCCTTGCATGCATTACCAGTTTAGTTGATGTGTTCTTCATAATTGTCAGCTGTGTTTCTCAATCATTGCGTGATCTGCTGAGTGTTTTCCTGCCCTTAATCTTGTGAAAATATGCCTTCCCGAAAGCAAATGGTACCTAAAAAATCAAGCAAATTCTAATGTGCCTAATTGAAGTGACAGAGTGAAAATTTTAGATTTGTTGAAAGGCAGAATGTCCTCAGTGCTGTTGGGGGGGTTATGGGTTGTATACATATATGTGTGTGTGTGTGTGTGTGTGTGTGTGTGCGCACGCGCACGCACGCGCACACACACACATATCAAGCATCTGCAGTAGCTGAGATAAAAAGCATAAAAATCTAGATTTTGTTGTTTGGATTTTTGTTATATAAAATAGTAATTTTGTGGCAGTAAAGTAGCCTATTCCATGAGGCTTCAAGTGCTGGATGATCATACCCACTGTCCACACAGCATATGTAAACAGTATTTTTAGCCTACTGAATTCTGTATCCAGGGTATTTGTGGGTTTTCCTCAGTGGTGCTCTCCTTAGAACCATATACCAATGGATACCAAGGATCTAATGTATCTAACTTTTATGGTAGCATTATGTAAGATAAATTTATTTTATAGACAAGGAAACTGAGGCAGGGATTTGAGATATCTGCCCAGATCACAATCATTAAGTGGCAGAGGATTCAAATGTACATTCCCCTGACACCCAGGCAATTAAATATCATGTAACAGCTTCTCACCAAAAAGAAGGTCAAGGGAAGAGGAGCAAAAGGTAGAAGAAAAGATGAACAAAGATCCTGGGAGGAATTGAATCCTACACCATCTATGGTATCATAAACTTCTGAGGACCTAACCCAAGACTTCAATCTCACTTTCCTGCCTCATTTGATTTCTGAAATAGTAGTGTGGTATATCCATATATCCTTTTTGGTAGAACCATGGAACAATCTCTTTTTTAAAAATTTTTATTGTCAAGGTGATGTACAGAGGAGTTACGGTTACATAAGTAAGGTAGTAAGTACATTTTTTTGTCGAACTTGTTACGTCCTCCCTCATTTTTCTCCCACTTTCCCTCCCCCACAGTCCCACACACACACATCCCCTTTCCCTTCATCATGGAACAATCCTAAAGAATATATGGCTCTGGGCTGAGAATGTGGCTTAGTGGTAGCATGCATGAAGCTCTGGGTTGAATTCCTCAGTACCACATACACAGAAAATGCCGGAAGTGGCTTTGTGGGCTCAAGTGGTAGAGTACTAGCTTTGAGCACAGAGAGGCTCAAGGACAGTGCCCAACCCCTGAGTTCATAACTCATTTTGCCTTGCCATAGTCTTTGTAAAACAAACAAAACTACAGATTTAGCCAGGCACTGGTGGCTCATGCTTGTAATTTTTAGCTACTCAGAAGACTGAGATTCGAGGTTAAAAACTAGCCTAAGCATGCGGCGGTGACTCATGCCTGTAATCCTAGGTACTGAAGAAGCTGAGATATGAGGATCACAGTTGGAAGTCAGCCCAAGCAGAAAAGTTCCTGTGAAACTCTTATCTCCAATTAACCACTCAAAAACCAGAAATGGCACTGTGACTCAAATGATAGAGCACAATAGACTTGAACACAAAGGGGCTAGGTACAATGCCCAGGCCCTAAGTTCAAGCCCCACAACCATCAAAAAAACAAGTGACAAAGAAACTAGCCCAAGCAGAAAAGTCTATGAGACACTTATCTCCAATTAACCAATAAAAAGTCAGAAGTGCACCAGAAACTGGTGGCTCAAGCCTACTGGTGGCTCCTAGCTACTCAGGGGGCTGAGATCTGAGAAATGTGGTTCAAAGCCAGCCTGGACAGAAAAGTCCATGAGACTCTTATCACCAGCAAACTTCCCAGAAAAAAGCCCAAAGTACTCCTGTGGCTCAAGTCATAGAGCACTAGTCTTGAGCACAAAGAAGCTCAGGGACAGCACCTAGGCCCTGAGTTCAAGCCCCAAGACCAGAAAAAAAAAAGTCAGAAGAGGAGATATGAATCAAGCAGTCGTAGAGCTATAGCCTTTGGAGAAAAAGGCAGGTGAGCACAAGCCCCAGTACCAGCATCAGATAAAAATGAAAACAAAACACAAGAACAAAACCAGATTCTATGTAGGTACAATGTGAACATTATATTGTTGCTTTCCACCACTAAACAGAATTACCACTTAAACAGATAATGTTGTCTATTACTCTAAAGAATATTTGATCCCAGAGTTTTCTTCTAATCCAGAAAAGAGCTTCCTAGAAAAGTTCCAAACACCTCTCCCAAGCACCCACTGCAGCCTCTTCAACCTGAGACCCCCCCCCCCACCTCCAACCACCCCCTCCCACCATCAGCAAGGACTACTTTCTAGGCTCACTATTTTTGGAGCCAATATGGCCAAAAATAACTCAGAAAGATGTTGACTTGAATGAAGCTGAACAAAACCTAAAGAAATCTCATACTGGCCCAACACTATATGTGCGAAATTCACATAGCCAAATAGAATGCAGCTCTAGACCTTAAGCAAACACTTCTTCTAAACCACTGTCCTCTCCACTCATCAGTCACTGAATAGTTACAAGTGATTACCTTCTACGTGCCAGGCACGGTGCCTGGTGCTAAACACCATCCAAGAAGTCATAGTCTTCCTCCAGAAACTTGTAGTCTACATGGAGGAAGAATTTGGTATAGAGTGCTGAGCTGCTTGTTGTCTATGTTGAAGAGGATTTGTAGTATTTGGGAGCTGCAAATTTTCCAAGTTGAGACATCATTTAAAAAAAAACAGAGAGGCTGTTAAAGGTAGCTAGCTCTCTGAGGGATGAGAAAGATAAGAATAAGCAAAGGCCATGTGAAAAATTACAAATGATTCCATCTGGCAGCAAAAAGAGGCCCTAGGCCCTAGACATGGGATAGGAAAGGAAGGAGCTTTGTTTCTGAAGGCTTCTTGCAGCTCTGCTTAGGTGACAATTGGCTTGATGGTGTGTGCACTTGTCACACAGCACATCTAGATCTT